ACTGGGGGAGTTTAGGGTTTAGGGAGAAGGTTTAAAGGCCCGGCAACAGGGATAAAGGTTAAGGGGGCGCAGGGCTCATGTTGGGGGTCTTATAGTGAGCATAAGAGTATTTGGAGTGTACATTGTCCCTATACCCTAACCCTGAACCCCCAAAACCCTAANNTCAAGCCCAGGATAAATAGAAGTTGTATAGTGTCGGAAAAAATAAAAGCAAAAGAAAAAGGCGGTCAAAGTCGCTCAAACTCCGGACACAAACCTTATACAACTTCTATAAACCCTAAAACCCCAAACCGTAAACCCTAAACCCTGAACCCTGACGGAAGAGCTTGATTTTTGGCGACTGGCCTTCAGTTAGCATGAGCTATAGTCTAAACTCCTTGAAGGGGCCTAAACCCCAAAACTCTAAACCACGTGGCTAAACATCCCAGTGTAAAGCCAACGCACTCCAAGGTGGCTTTGCCAAAGGATGGGATTCATATATGAGCTACAGTGAAAAAATAAACTCCTTAGAGCGGGGTTATATAGAGGAGGTTCAGGGTTTAGGGTCTAAACTCCTTTAAAGGGGGTATATGGGGAATTATATAGGGGAGTATCATAGGGGCTATTAAGGTGGATACTAGAGGTTCAGATTATAGCTCACATGGAACTCCGCAAGGCTTAGGGTTTGATTTGAGGGTTTAGGGCTTAGGGTTTAGGGTTTTGAAGTTTTGGTTTAGGGTTGCTGCCAATATTTGGCTTACCAAAGGACCATCGCAGGTGGACGTAAGAGTCCTTCTGTAGCTTAGTATAATCCCTGACATGTTCTCTAGTAAGGACCCCTGCCCATAATCTGCAGCAGAAATGTTGGCTGCAGCTCATATGACCCTGCAAGCGGATGTTCCCCAAACCCTAAACCCCAAATAAAAAGGTGCTATTAAAATGTGGGGAAGAGTGTACCTTGAGCACCGCCTCCAGCCCTATGACAGCCCAAAAAAAAAGGAGGTCTTGATGCATATTCAGTGTGGATGGAGGAAATGTTGCACCACTCATGATCCGCCAAGCTGTGAGCTTCCTGGTGCTTAAGGGAGCGTGGGGGAGTAAATCCTTACCATAGTCCCTACATAATCCTCATAGTTAACCCTCAACCCTAAACCCCTTAAGGCTTAACCTTAAACCCTAAGCCCTAAACACTTAACCCTAAACCTTAAACCCTAAGCCCTTAACCCTAAAACCCTAAACCCTAAACCCTTTAAGAGTCCGCATATTCACTCCCCACTCTGCCTTAGGCACCAGAAAGAAAGTGAGCGGGTGGCAGCATCCAAAGTCAACACTGCAACGTGTTGGATGAATTTCGTAGAATAACCTGACACTTATAGTGGGGGTTGATTTTATATGAGGTTAGGGTGGGGTGGATTGTTGTAGGGAAGGGATTTGGGGATTACTAGTGCCAACTGGTAATCTCCGATAAGAGCCCCTGGGCATCCGTGAGGGTTCCCAGAAATAAGTGGCCCCAATGTAGAACCCTGTTTAGGGTTTAGGGTTTAGGGTTGTACTCCTTGTGCGAACTCCCACAAAGTAGCCCTTATTAGTCATGAGTTCAAGTAGTACCCCCCTCTATACTACCCTCCTAGGGTCTCCCCCTTAATTAAAATTTTTAGGGAGAAAAAGGCCTAATTAAGGTTAACTAATGGGGGAACCTAGGGGGGTAGTATAGAGGGGGTACTACTGGAACCCATGAACCCACAAACCCTAAACCCTAAACCCTAAATTAGGGGCCCCAATCAAAGTCTCAAGGTCTTTGGTGCAATCTGGAGCTCGCCACGTTTGTGCACCGCTGTGGCGCTGAGAAGCTCGAAGCTTGAGTCTGCTTATGAGTAGTAGTTTATTTGGGGATACTATGGTACGTACCCAAAATAGAGTAAGATTATATCATCCTTTTGGGTGTGGTACTTTATACAAGGAACATTATCTTACTAGGTTCAACCACCAATAAACACTATTCTTATGTAGGATAACCTTAAACCTAAACCCCATGATGTCTGTTGTCCTTCTGAAGGGCTCAGGGCCTAATGAGAAATAGAAGGGGTGTAGAAGGCCCTCTTGGGAGGTGGAGGCTAGGGTTTAGGGTTTATCGTTCAAGGGATATGAGGATCAAATAGCCCTAAACCTGAAACTGTGCTCGCCCCTCTTGGATTGTTCTGTAAAAACTAAAGCTACGCGGTTTAGGCTGTAGGACTTGGGGCTTATCTTGTGAAGGAGGCGTAGGGGGATAAGTGTCGGATGCCTGGTAAACACCATCCTTCACTGCGTGATAATGACATGTCAACAGAAACATGTGGTAGGCTTCCCAACGTAGACCCGCATACAGTATTAAGCTTATTAGTATGGGTACCCCCAGCAAGGGATCTCTAAACCCTAAGCCGTATATAACCCATTATAGTAGTTTCCCTCTACTTTTCCGTTAACCCCTTATGAACCCAATGGGTCCCCATTTGTTGGAACAGATGACAGGATGTGCTTCCTTTGTGGCTTGCTCCATGGCTACTACTCTCAATCATGTTCTTCAGTTGCATTTGGAAAAATGTGTTGCATTTTGAGCCCTAATGAAAACTCCTCAAAAGGGATTATATAGGGGATTATGTGGTGAGTATTATACGGGTTGTTAAGATGTTTTGCAGTTGCATGGAATGCGGAAGTAATATATCATATGGGGTTATACAGGGATTGTATTCCCTTCTATTCCAAAAGAGGCTCTTATTAGGGGATACAATACTCGTAAGATTGCCCTAAACCCTAAACCCCTACTTCTGAAAACTTTCATCATGTTACCTGTTCCAACCACAACGAGCACTCCTCATGTGTGATCGTCGTTGAGATTTGGAGCAACCTAAGCTGCCTAAACCCTACTTGGATGCCCATGGGACTTAGTAACTACTTATAATTGGGGTAACCCCTATAAGTCCAGTTAGGGGGATTATAAGTAGGGTTATAAGCCCAGGTATAAGTAGTTACTAAGTCCCATGGGCCTCCAAGTATGCCCTCGAACCAGGGAAACCCGTTAGGCAAGGAATGTACCTTGGGTACTGCCTCCACTCATTAACAGTTGGAGAATATTTATAATATGACCCCTGTTTTAAGCTGTTACTGGGTGGGGTCAGAACCCAAGATATACCCTAGAGCTTCGTTTTTGGAAGCACACCTTACGTAGTAACCCTAAAACCTAAGGACCTAAGGGTAGTAGTATTTCCTATGTGCTTGTCCACTATACTAGTATACTCGTACATATGTTATACCCCAAAAATTGCAAATAATATTTTAGGGATGCTAACCCGAAGGCTCCATGTAGCTCTTTGGCATATACTTGGGCCCTAAAGTAGTTATATGGGAACCCCTTTGGGCCCAAAGTATCTGCTATACAGCTACATGGAGCCTTTGGGTAAGTGCTGGAAGCTTCCCTCCATCCATCGTAGGATTGAACTCTGCACATACCCCGAGGCTACCGAAGAGCCCATAAGTGGTGAGAAGCTCCCTTTATAGAAACCCTTAGGGTTTAGGGCAGTTTCGGGTTGGGGGTTTAGGGTTTAGGATTTAGGGTTTAGGTTTAGGGTGGTTTAGGGNNTTTAGGGTGGGTTTCGGGTTTAGAAGCCCTAAACACGAAACCCTAAACCCTACACCCTTTGACAGCGTGATGCAGGTTAGATCTCATGAGTGCGAGCCTGTTTGAGCTCTTGGAGCACGTCTTCCCGAATCTGGTTTGCTGTTAAAGAATTTCATTCAGGTTACCATAACCGGGGTATGTAGTAAACAATAGGTTTTCCTTGCTACAGTAACTTGGTTCAAGTTCCTTAACAGTAACCCAGGAATTGGAGTGCAGCTTGGATGACGGACATCATTAGTATCATCGAGTCGGTCCTTGGAACAAATCCGGCAATGCTGAAGTTTGCAGCGTGGTTCATCATCTGGATGATGTCCAGCATTGTCTATTTGCCTGCGTCCATTCCAAGCTTCTTCTCCTTCCGCATGAAGCTTCAAAGCCACAAAGTGATGTTGGACCAAATGGCAGGCGTAAACCTTTCAGATCTTACATCTGAATCCCTAAGCCCCAAACCCTACACCCTAAACCGTAGTGATATGTGGTAGAAGCCATTTAGACTTGGCCTAAGAACCCTACGTATCATTGGTGTAACCTGTTTGGGTCCTTTTCGGGGGATTATAAGTAAGGTTACGGCCCAGGTATAACTGGTTATTTCTGGGCCCCATGAACTTTCAAAACCCACACCCCCTAAGCCAAAGTGATGTTAGACCAAATGGCAGGTTTCGATGTGCGCGCGGCAGAATGTACCCTGCCTGCTGATCGAGAGGCAGCTGAGCAACAACTCAAACACAGGGCCCTGGGGTGAAGGGCTTAGGGCTTAATACTTACAACCCTGAGCCCTAAATCGCAAAGTCTTAAACCCCGAGCCTGAACTCTAAACCCTACCTAAACCCCAAAAATATGTCAAATAATAGCCCTAAACCCATAATAATAACCATAAAGGCCATTATCTTACATACTTTTGGGGTCCAGGTAGATCCTAAGCCGGTGGAGTCTGAAAAACCTAAATCTCCAATCCCAAAACTCGAAACGGCCCTAGGTTTCTATTATTAAGCCCTAAACCCTAAACCCTAAGCCCTAACCCCTAAACCCAACCCCTCAAACTTCATCCCTAAACCCCAACACCCCCCCTCCCGAAATCTTGTCCCCAACTCCTAAGCTAAAGAGGCCATCGAGCAGCAGGTGAAAGAGCCCAGGTACACCAGTAGTATGCCTTTTCCGTTTTCCTTGGGGGTCTCCTAGGGTTCGGGGTTTAGGCTTTTGTTTAGGGTTACCCTAAACCCTAAACCCCTTGGATTAAGGGGAACCTAGGAGCTATTCTGGCGGGAAGGCCGGCGGGCGGCAATTGACAAGAAGGATCGTGGTGACTTGTTAGGTTGGTTTAGGATTGTTGGTTTAGGATTTAGAGTTTACGGTTTAGGGTTCGGGATTTAGAAATGGGGTTTAGGTTGCAGGGTTAGGGGTAAGGGTTTAGGGGTTTCCGGTTTGGGGTAAGTCTTTGCTAGAGCTTCAGCAGGATAGCCGACAATTAAGGAGTTCTTACTTTGTCACTTAAGGGCAATTAAAATACTCCCCTCCCTTTAAGTTTCCAAACCCCAGCCCCGCTAATGCATAAACACTGCGGTGTTTTATTTTGGGAATATTCTACACCCTAAGCCACGTGGTGTTTCCAACAGAAGGGGCCCTAAGCCCTAAAGCGGATAGTTTTTGGTGGCGAAAAAGCAACCAAGGTGAAATACGGATTGACAAGTTTCTTGGTGGATGAAGGATCTAAGGCTAAAGGTGCCCTTGTTGAAATCCCAGTATGGAGCCCAGAATCTGTTCGTACTACTTGTATATGTCTAGGGTTCCAAAGGCCCTCTGTTTTGAGAACCTTCGAGATCAAACCGATGCTAAACCCTAAACCCTCGCGGTCTAGGGTCCAGGCTGTACTTGGAGGCCCATGGGACTTAGTAACTACTTATAACTGGGATTATAACCCTACTTATAATTGTGGTAACCCCTATAAGCCCATTTAGGTGGATTCTAAGTAGCGTTATAAGCTCAGTTTTAAGTACTTGCAAAGTCCCATGGGCCTCCAAGTAGGGTTGAGGGTTCAGGCCTAAGGGTCCCAGGCACCTGAGCCCTTGGGTTTCAGGGCTGAGCTTCGCACCTCAGGAAGGCGGAACCTTCAGCAACATGTTTCATGCCAAGCTTTGCATAGGACGACGGTCCCTGTATCTGCTAGCAGTTTGCCAAAAGCTTTCTGAGGCACCCTAAACCCTAAACCCTATCAACAGTAGCCCTCCTAGAGCACTACAATCAGCAGCGGTTTAATGGACTGAAGTGCCTTATAGGTAATACCCTGGATGTTGAAATTTCCTGGGTGACCTCAGTATATTAAACGTCCATAACTACCAAGGTTTAGGGTACTTAGGACGCCCTAAACCCTAGCTCAGAACCCTAACCCTTGAAGCCTACACCCTAAAACACGTGGTAGTACGCGGCCAAGGAGGACTATGGCTTCAGGCTCATCATGCAATGATCCACTGGACGGATTCAACGAATACATTCGAGGAACTCTGCGTACGTTCGTGATGGCTGAGATTGGTGATGAGCTATATGTGGAAGTTTCGCAAATTCACCTCTAAACCTAAACCCCTGGGCCTCCCCAAACCAAGCCCGGGACCTTGAACCCCATGCAAGCCTGCACATAATTCTAGGGTCTTTAAGGGCCACCCCTCCCCCTAAACCCCTAAACGCTATAAGCCATGGACCCTACACCCTAAACCCCTAAACCCTGAACCCTAAACCCTAAACGCTATAAACCCTAAACCTACAAGGTTCCTGAACATGATTTTTAATTTCTGTTACCTAGAATCCTAATATTTAGTTGAAATTCTAATTTCTACTGGGGTTCCAAATCCCTTAGAGAAACCCCTAAGCCCTAAACCTCCCTCAGGTGCCATGGCAAACCTGCCTCGCGGCCTTCTTGCCCATGATTTTTTACAGCTCAGTGATGCTGGGTATGGCTTCAGTGGTTTTAGGGTTTTAGGGTTTTGGGTGTTTACGGTTTGGGGTGTTTAGGGTTTTTGGTGTTTAGGGTTTAGGGTTTCGTTTTGAGGGCTTGTAAACTCTAAGCCCACCTTCGGGTACGACCCTACTTTGGCCTAATTACACTTGGTACTAAAAATCCCGCCTGACCTTAGCATGCTATGATGCCGCAACTGCTCATGTAACTTGGAAGCACTTTACTACAACTATGGCACATTATGACGCCTGTGGTTCCTCTATTTCATATTAACTGAGCTAATAGTTGAATTCTTCTAGGGGATTTCACAGAACGCTAAAATTCTAAGGGTATAGTATTTGGGGTCATGCAGGTGCTGTAGCATCCACCGTAGGGTCCCCTGAACACCTCTTCAAGGCTCCAAGGTTCCCCTATGGTCACTCCCCTAATTAGGGTTTAGGGCTATAAGCCCTAATCCCGATAGCACAAGCCCTAAAACTCTAAAACCCTAAACCTTGGGTACTGCCCCCCTCACTAACAGTTGGACAATATTTATCATAGGGTTATATATAGCCCTTAATAGGACCCCTAATATAGACTGTTACTGGGTGGGGGCAGTACCCAACCTAAACCCTAAAGGTTAAGGGTTTAGGGTTTAGGGCACTTCATCACTGAAAAATATTTTTGTCTCGACAATACCCCGGTCACCTTAAACCTCTGAACCTCAGAGGGCTCAGCTGGGCACAAACTCCAGGGTTTAGGGTTTAGGGCTTAGGATTTCAGAGCTTGAGTAGGGTTTAGGGTTTAGGCTTTAGGGGTTTAGGGTTCAGGGTAGTGTTTGGGTTAAAGGTTAGAATGAAGGGTGTAGAGTTATAAATATACACGGAAGGATAGAGATTCAGATGGCTGATCAAGTGGAAGCTGACCGAATCTAGAGGCTGGTAAGGGGGCTTCCTAAGATTTGGGGTACTACTTTGGGGGCCTCTATGATCCCTAATATTGAGGGCCAAGACGGAAGTTAATTACGGCTCGGATCCTGAATGAAGGGGGATACCGAGCACGACTCATTAGGATCAGAGACTTCCTTGGTTTCTTGACTTGGATTGTTTTTTTTAAAAGAGAATTTATATAGAATCTGAATGCGATGTTACTTGGGTGCATTGCGGTTTTAAATCGTTTGAAGTTTGAATTAGTTTGTAATTGGGTTTTGCGTAAATTTCAAGCAATTTTCGTCGATAAATAGATTTTCTGAGATTTTAACTGAACTTTTAGTATGTTTTAAATAGATGTAAATGGCTTTGGTTTTTGAATTGATTTGAATAGGTGTAATTTAGACTTTTCATTAGATTTCAATGCTGCTATGTTGATTTGAATCGGGTTTGTTACGATTTTATTATGATTTGGATTCGATGTTATCTGTTTTCCATTCGGTTAATCCAATTTTATACGACTTTAAAGGACCCTATTATATACCCTTCCTGATGTTCGGGTCATGCGATAAATAGTTCGGAGTCTATTCATAGGAGGGGCAGAGCCCCTTAATATTAATTAGGGGGAAAGGATTAGAAAGGGTTATCATTTTGGGACATACTGGGGCCCGCGGCAACTACCGTACAGAGCTTGAAGTTGAGGGGCCTGAGTAGTTTAGGGTTTAGGGTTTAGAGAATGATACGAATCCATCAGGCCTCTATATGACCTATACCCAAAGGACCAACACTCTTACCCGATTGCGTGTCAAACCGTGGATGGAAGAAATCTGGCATCAGCCCATGAATATCACACATGATGGAAATAAACAGGTGCAAGATTTCCTCCTTCCAGAGTATTGCACGCACAAGGGTTTGGGTACCCAGACTCCTGGGAGGATCTAGAAAGTAGAACCCCCATGATGATTCTTTATACTTCTATTGGGTAATTTCTAGGACTCCTTAAGTGGGGGCTACTTTCTGGATCCGCCAAGGGGTCTGGGTAAGGAACATCCTGGCCTGTGACAATGGACCCTGTGATGTATCAGCGAAGCTGGCGGGGTACAGCTCCTTGTCCGGGTTAAGGGTTCAGGGTTAAGGGTTTAGGGTTATTTATGGTTAAGGGTACTAGGGGTATGGGGTGGGGAATCAGGCAGACATTATGGAGTATGCCCCTGAACCCTAAACCCTACCTCTGACCCCAAATAACTCCAGTTTACAAGTAACTCCCCATTAGTTAGTAGGTATAACCCATAAAACCGTAGGTACTTGGAGTTTCAGGTAAACCCCTAACCCCTAAACCCTAAACTCTAAACCCTAAACCCCAAACCCTAAACCCTAAACCCCTACACCCTAAACCCCTACACCCTAAACCCTATTACATCGGGGCCGCCGACGGCTTGTAATGGTCCTAGGCCCTTGAGGTGAGATTCTCAAAGTGCCCCATTGGGTTTAGGGTTTAGGGTTTAGGGTTTTGTTTGGGGGTAATGCTTAGTAGGACGCCTCACTGTCAGTATACTTATATAACCCCTATAATAACAGCCATAGACTAAACTCCTATCATCCCCCTCAATAAGCCTATAGTAGTCCCCTATACAATCTCCTATATAACCTCCCTTTAAGGAGTTTAGACTCTAGCTCATACATCTAAGGGTCGCTTACGTGTCCGTGGGTCGCGGTTTAGGTTTTGGGTCAGTAACTTTTTTTCTTTCGCGGTTTAGGCTAAACGGTGTAGGGTTTAGGTTTACGGCAATATAGTAGCCACAAAAACAAAACAAAAAACCTGAAAAGCAAAGAAATAGGGGTTTTCGGAATTGGGGGTCCCTTGTTGCCACTCCGCGTAAGAAGACTTATAGTATGTTGAGGTTTAAAATGGGACCCTCTACATACTTTTGATCGTGGACACCTAAGGCTCTGTCGGTCAGTACATGGCAGTGCAAACTGTGGGCTGGGCGCTCTGCATTTTAACGGCTTTTCCGCTGACTTACCCTACTCTTCTTCGGATGATCAAGTTTGCGCTATCCTATGGCGATGGCCCGTTGCAGCTGTTTGCTGCTTTCCTGTGCTGCCCCTTATCTATCCAGCGCGTAGATTAAAACCTGATAGGTTTAGGGTTTAGGGTTTGATTATGGTTCAGGGTTGATGGTTTAGGATTCACGGCTTAGGGCTTGGGGTCATTTAGGGTTCATGGTTTAGGGTTTTGCTTGGGGAGAATATGCAACGTGGATAATGATCGCCTCCACATATTAAAACCCACCATCCAACTAGTAGTGACTGTTCCCTATATATTGAAGTATGTCACAAACGTAATGAATATGTAATATTCGGGCGGGGGGGGGGTGGGGGGTTGACAATTGGGGAGGTTATTTATAACCCTAGATTAGACCTTATTAACAAACTCTACTGCGCAATGAGGAATTCTTGAGCCATCTGAGATACCTAAGCTACGGGTGTTCTCTTTCTGAGTCACACCGGAATTGCCCAAGGTTTCATCCATCCAGGGCAACGTACGTACTGGACACCTGAGTTGTATTTCATTGGGGGATGTCAGGGTCCGCTTCAGGGTCCCCGACAGAATTGCGAATTTAGGGTTTAGGGTTGTTGAACCTTGTATCCTGCTTTTGGTTATGGTACAGATACTGTACAAGAGGATTAGGGAACCTTACTTGGTTCGACCACTCGAAAACCGTAGACTCCAAACCCTAAAGACTAGACCCTAAGCCCTAATCCCTAAATCCTAGACCCTAAACCTTAAATCCTAGACACTAAACACCGAACCCTTACCTGAGGTCCGCTTGCTTACATGTACAGCTACATTTGTGGCAGCCTGGTTTGGGCCTCACTCGTCTCGCTTGTGGAGAACTACTCTCTAATTCAGCTATGCGCTTCCCAGCTGTTCCGGCAAGGTTTAGGATCGAGGGTTTAGGGTTTAGGACTTAGGGTTCAGGATTTAGGGTTTAAGGTTTAGGAGCTAGAGCGTGGGGACTCAGTATGTGGTGCTTAAACTTTCTGAGACTGTAGGCTAAGATCTAAAACCCAACACTGCCCACAAGGTTTATCATGGGAAGCCCCTCTATCAGGAGGGAGCTTAGAAGACACTAAGCCCAACCCCTGATACACCTAGGCAATTTCCACCCCGGAAGCCACAAGAGTCCTCATTGAGGGTTTAGGGTTTTAGGGTTTAGGGTTAGGGTTGACCCTGGGTACTGGAAACCCAAACCCGAAACGGTGGACACCAAAGGTGTTCCTGCTCATCATGTCGTTTCTCGTTGCTCAAGTCCTCTGGCTCTTCACTCGGCGCAGCAAAGACGATGCTTGCTGGTTAGTAAGGAATGAAGGAAGAATAGAGATTGGGACATCCCATATCGTTTAGGCCTTATGAATGTAGACTGCCGTAAGGGTCTATTTTTCCAATGTCTACTACCTGTCACAAAGTCACTAAGGAATTGACATGCCGCCGCATCATACGCGAGGAGGCTTCGTATGACGAGCTTTTAAATCCGCCCTGATGCGTGGTTTTTTCCACAAAGGGCGGGGTTGAACATCTACCTATTGTCAGAAGGAATTCCCGAAGACGCGAAAAAAACCGCATGGCATGGGTTTGTTCCAGGCTTCTGCCACCCTTGGGTGGTGGAGGCCGGCAATGATGAATCGTTTCAACATCGCTTGGCAAGGTGGATGCCAGCGTGTTTTGGATCCTAAAACACACCCCACACGGCAAAGAAGCCCAAACCCTGAGCCCTAATTTCCTCTAGCTCCTCCAAGCCCTAAAACCCAAAGAGCCCGAAGCCCAAACTCTAAACAGGCCCTATTTAACCCAAATCTACCACCAGCAAGCACCAACAGGTGAAAAGACCTGACTCGGGCCCAGTGGTCAACAACTAGTGTACATCCTGGGCCCTGAAGTTTTAAGCATTCTTGTTGAAGACATCGCGTCGGTCCCAAAGACCTGCATGACCTTGGTCGCCCTAGACCTTCTACTACACGAAAATTGTCATTCCTACGGTGTAAGGGTTTATAATCCCCCTAAGTAGATAGACTATGGGGTATATGGGTATCTTGTAAAATACCCAAGGCCATATTCTATCTCCTTAAGGGGGACTATAGAGTTCAGGGCGCTCAGGGTCATGTAGGACATTTATGTCAAGCATATGGGTGCTTCTCAAAAATGAGTGGACCCTGTAGCACCTGCCCATCATGTCTGCTGGCGCACGTGACAAAGCCTGGATAGGGTTCAGGTTCAGGGTTTAGGCCGAGCTCTACCAAGTTTGAAGTTCAGGATTCAGGGTTTTTGGTTGGGGGCTTCAGAGTTCAGGGCTTATATGGGGTTACTAGTTAACCCTCTGCAGGAGTGTCGGGTAAGCTCTTCTTCCTTGTCGTTCTCTTCTAAAATGAGCCAGGGTTGTTGCAAAGGTCCCTGTAAAGAAAGAACAGTTGGAAATACACTTCCTTAAAGGGGATCCTAACTCTAAGCGTCCAAGGACCCAAATAATAGGGCTTTAGGGCCCAAATACTATAGTCTATAGTATTAATGGTATTTAGACCCTAAACCCCTATTATTTGGGTCCTTCGACCCTTAGGATAACCAAATTGGGAACCTACATTGTGGCCATTTTGGGGGCAGGTGTTTGGAACAGCTCCCGTTCGGATGTATGGAGACGAGAGAGGCTAGATATTGGGCTCTATCTTGGGCCCCCCCCGCCATATGCGAACTCCCAAACCCTAAACCCTAAACCTTACCCTACCAAGCACTAGTAAGGTTGTAGACCCCCCCTTTTGCGAACTAAAACCTAAACCCAACCGCTAGTGGGGTTGCAGATGCCGCACACCGGCAACAGCAACAACAACATTAACAACATCAACCAAAAAACGACGACGGCGGCGGCTGCCTCAACATCAGCATCAGCACCAACATGTTGGATTTCGGCCGCGCGTTTCTCTGCAATTGTCACAGTGCAGGCTTCATCGTAAGGTATGGCCGACCATATGAGCTATAGTCTAAACTCCTTAAAGGGGGTTATATAAGGGATTATATAGGGGACTACTATAGGGGTTATTAAGGGGGAGATGGGGAGACTAGGAGCTTAGACTATAGCTCAGATTGAGCCTTGCAGAGAATCTTCGTTCCCAAAATAGTCCAAGCAGGCGAGTCGACAATGGCTCAAGAAGGAACTGTACCTTGATGTCGACTTCCCCCTTAGGGTTTAGGGTTTAGGGTTTAGTGTTTAGGGTTTAAGCCGCAGCACAGCCCAATGCCTCATCATAGTTTTCGACAATCAGATGGGCTGTTCTCAAAATTATGGGCCCCTTTTGGTTAGCACCTAATAGTTAGGGATACCAAAATGGGACCCTCATTTTGGGAACTACCCAGATTTCATTTTGGGTCCTCATAGAGGATCCCTCACCGGTATAAGCTGTGTAGAACACTGAACAACTAACCAGAGGATCTACTTGTAATCCTTACATATTCCGCTTTAAACACCACCACACAAACCTGCTCTAATCATGTAGTCAACAGGTATACCTATTTAGGCCTGCCCACCTGCCTTGAATTTGCCACATGTGGCCCAAAACAATACGCCCTAAGCCCTGAACACCACACCCCAAACCCTTAGCCCTAAACCTTAAAACCTGAGCCCTAAACCCTAAACCCTATATAGCCCCATTATAGTAGTCTCAGTCTTCTTTTCCATTATCCCTATAGAACCCCTATATCATACCCCCATGAAAACCGGGCTCAAGTTGGGCCGAGAAGACTTGGATAGAGTCGGCATTGTTTCACTGCTCCTTGGTACTGCGCCCTACCAAAAACTCGGTTTAGGGTTGAGAGCCCTAAAGGATCCAGAAAAGGCAACCCGCAAACTGCCCTTATGGCTAGGCCGTGGCAAAATGAGGAGATTACTGGGAGGTTCTCTGGATACTTAGAGCGGTTTAGGTAAACATAGTCTACTTGGAGGCCCATGGGACTTAGTAACTACTTATAACTGAGATTATAAGCCTACGTATAGTTGGGGTAACCCCTATAAGCCCAGTCAGGGGGATTATAAGTAGGATTATAAGCCCAGTTATAAGTAGTTACTAAGTCCCATGGGCGTCTAAGTATAGTTTTGTTTTTGTTAATTCTGTGGAGCCCAACAGGTGGTGGCAAAAGACGTGCTTTCCTGACCGAGCGCTTGAAAATCTGGATGTACCAAGGAGTGCTTTTAAATCCAGAAGCCTCAAAAGAGGCTTGGTAGCTTTTGGCCTTTTGCCACAGTCAGTGCAAGAGCATGTCGACCCAAAATCAATTGCGGAGCACGGCGCCTGGACTGATTCACTCAGCTCAGGGTTTAGGGTTTTGGCTTTAGGGTTGAGCGGGTTTCAGGTTACCAGAATTTAAAACACACGATTTTTTTGGACCAGGAAATTCACCTGGCACGTAATGAATTTCCACAGAAGCTTTGAACTGTCACAAAAATTTCGGTCTTCCACATTTCTTGCATGGTCACCGTGTAGGGCAAGTAGAGCAATAACCTACTTATAAAGTCCCCCTGACCCTGCAAGTAGTGAAATGAATTTCGGGAAATCCCCATGTATGTGGCATGTTGCAGGGGGCAGGGATGTTGGGCCGGGCAGCATGCATCTTAAGGCGTGCAAACATGAGGGTAGGTTTCAGGGTTTAGGGTTTCGGGCTTAGGGTTTCGGGTTTAGGGTTCAGGGTTTAAGGGTTATGGACAAAGTATAGGGTTCAGATCGGGAGTTTTGACCGGGTTTTGGGTGAGCTTCTGTTTTCAAGAGGGGTGAAGTGGAAACGTTGCCCAAAACATGCTTTTCTTGGTTGTCTTCAACTCCGCTGCTCTTTCTTTTCGAGGGTCCGCCTTCGGAAGGCTGGATTTTTGATCCCTGGAGTAGCCAAAATTCATTCAAATTGCCAAAGCATGGGTCAAATCCATTAGGGAGGGAGGCCCTTAAGATCCCTTAAGGTTTGGGACTCCAATTTGGGGCTTGGCGATCCCAAAAGGCCAACATGAGTAGAATTGCTTTTTCTTTGGGGGTTGCCGAAGTTCGCACAAGATTATCAACAAATC